TCCAACCCTCTGGTTCAAGCGATTCTCCTGCCTCAGCCTCCTGAGCATGCTCCCGCCACCATGCCCAGCTCATTTTTGTGTTTTCAGTAGAAGCATGGTTTCACCATGTTGGCCCGGATGGTCTCAAACTCCTGACCTCAAGTGATCCGCCCGCCTTGGCCTCCCAAAGTGCTGGGATTACAGGCATGAGCCACCTCTCGTTGTTTTTAAAGCGTCCTGGACAAGCTGTCTTTGTTTTTAAAGGGTGCCCTTGGTAATTTATTCATTGTAGTTTTTTTCAGTGTAGCAGGTAAGGGGCTCAGTGGATAAGCTCTTGAAGACAGTCCTGAAGGCGTGGCCTTCTAAGACTCTGCTACCGTTTTTGTTGTTGAGATGGAGTCTCACTCCGGGGTGCGGTGGTGCAATCTCACCGCAACCTCCGCCTCCTGGGTTCAAGTGGCTGTCCTGCCTAAGCCTCCCGAGTAGTGGGACTAAGGCAGGTGTAGAGCCACAGCCCTACAGGGTTGTGGGGTGTCCCCTATCGCTGTGCTGAGGCACAGGATCCGAGAAGTAAAGAGATAGGACACAGAAGGACTGGAAAAGAGCAGCTGGGCACGGGGGGCCACGCCACCTATAAGCGGAGACAGGCAAGGCCCTGAACGTCCAGGAGCATCTGTATTTACTGGGTACAAAACACGGGGCAGGGTAGTGAGTGAGGTCATCTTAAGGGCAGTGATAGGGTCAAGACAATCACGTGCGCAACAAACAAGGGGTCCACCCCCACTAGGTCACCGAGGCTAGGAGGTGGGTGGTGCGCAGTGCAGAACACAGTGTGCAGTATCTCTATCTAGGGTGGGCTACTTCCAAGGAGTTCTGCGGGAGGATGGTCTGAGTCACAACAGTGGCAGAGCTGACCCGGTCTACCACCGCCTGCTGGCAGCTCCTGATGATTTCCAGTGGAGGATCTGGGTCAGCACCGTGGCCAGAGAGCTGACACGTTACATAGTCACCAAGGTGTGATTGTACCGGTGGGGGGGGGGGGTTCTATGCCCTCAGATGCTCGCGGGATTGCCAGTCTGAGGGCAGCCTTCCACAAGAACTGGAGGCAAGGTCTTACAACTCCTTTTTCAGAGGAGTGGCTCTTGCTCCAAGCCTGCCGTAATACAGCAGGTATCTTTACGATACTGAACGCTGCTGCATGGGCCATAGATTCTTGTCCTGGTATAACTGTTTTCCCTTAAATCATGCTCTGCACTGCAGGTAACGCCCCACCATGGGCACCAAGGAAGGAGAGTTGTGCAAACCCCAGGCACAATTAGTGCCTGAAAAATATCTTAGTTTATAGTGTTATTACTCAGCTATTTCCTTTATGTAATCCTTCATATATAATCATATATTAGTTTATAGAATTCGTGCCTGGAGTATAACTTACCGCTTACATATATCTAGCTTATGTAATCATACTTAGCACTTATATCTAGCATACTTAGTTCCATATAATCTTTCTATATAATCATATATGTATTGTAGTCGGAGCTGTACTGACACGTTTAGTGCTGATTTATAAAATCCTTCCATAGAACCATATAGTAGCTTGTAGAAGGAGGAATGCCTAGAGCAGTCACAGAACAGAAGCAGTACATGGATAACAGCCAGACCAGGATGAGAACCAGAGACCCAGGCGGTGGCGTCCCTGCCTGAAAGGGCGGACGCTGTGTGGCAGGCTTGGAGCAGGAGCCTCTCCTCCTGATAGAGTTGTAGTACCTTGCATCCAGTTCCTGTGGAAAGTCGGCCTCAGGCCTCAGATTCTGGAAATAACCAAGGGAGAGGAACCCCTCTGGCGAGACCAGTCATGGCAGCTGGACACCGTGTCAGACTTTTCTCACTTCTGCGCTAGAGCAAATCATCCTCCCGTAAATATCTTAATAGAAGAGCACAGTTTGTCAGCTCCCACTACATTAAGCTTACAGTATCCTTCCATTAGAAATCCTTTGACGTCTCCAGCCCCCAAATAAGAATTACTGTGCATGACACCTGTTGCACACAGCCCAAACCTCCTTGCCTCAGTGGCCTAATGGGGGTGGATCCCTCCTTTGTACATAACCCTCTACTACTGCGCCCGGCACGGCCCCCTACTGCGCACAGCCCACGTCTCTACCCAGGTGATCTAATGGGGTAGCCCCCTTGCCTGCTACTCAAGTGATTATGTTTGCCCTATCACTAAGCCTATAGATGATGACCTCACTCACGACCCTGCCCCACCCTGACTTGTACCTAATAATTACAGACTGCTTCTGGATGTTCGGGGCCGCGCCAGTCTCCACTCACAGGTGGCGTGGCCCCCGAGTCCAGCTGCTCTTCCCCAGTTCTTCAGTGTCCTGTCTCTTTACTTCTCGGATCCTGCACCTCAGCACAGCATAAGGGACGCCCTGCGACCCTGTGGGACCAACAGCCCTACACTGCACTGTGTCTGCTCTAGACATTCCTCCGACTATAAGCAAGATATGCTTATATATGTAGAGCTGTTTATCCCTTAATTCATGCTCTGTACCGTGTCTGCTCTAGACATTCCTCCGACTGTGAACTAAGATATAATTTTATATATATATATATATATATATATATATATGTATTATATATATGTATATACATATAGGGAAATAACTGAGTAGTAGGATATTCTTCAAGCACTAATTGTTCAGACTATAATACATGATATTTTATATAAAGGATTATATAAAGGAAATAACTGAGTAAAACACTCTAAGATATTCAGGCACTAACTGTGCCAGGGATCTGCTTAGCGCTCCTTCCTCGGTGCCCCCTTGGGGGGTTACCCACAGCAAGCACCACCACACGTGGCTAATTTTTTTGATGGAGATGGGGTTTTACTATGTTGGCCAATCTGGTCTCGAACTCCTGACCTCAAGTGATCCTCCCAGAGTGCCGGGATTACAGGCGTGAGCCACCTTGCTGGTCTAGATTTGGCTACTTTTGGATCAATATATCCAGAATTTTCTAGGCTGTGAACTTGCCCTTGATCGTGGACATTCACCACTTGCGGCTGCCGAGTGGGTCTGTGTCTCACCTCCCACCGTGAGGACCCGTTCCCAAACAGAATTCCACATTGGCTTTCCAGGGTGCGGGCTGTTCTCGGGATCTGAACTGTCCGCGGGCTCCGGGGTTGCTTGAGTCCACTCCCCAATCCCCATGTCCCTGCCCGAGTCTGGCCTTGGGTTTTCAATGGCTTCTCGGGGCCCTCGTGTGGGGCCTCCCCCTACGAAAGAGCAGGTGGGTAGCGGTGGGAGCCCCGGGTGCCGGTGGGACGCTCCAAGGCCCGGCCACGGGACGGCTACCCTGGACTGTGGGCAGTTCAGGATCTTCTTTGAGGCACCTGCGAGTGGCCGGGGCTGGGTCCCAGGACCCCGACTGCCAGCGAGGGGCGGGGCGGGGGGCGGGGCTGGAGGGGAGGAGCGGTCTGGCGGGAGGAGGTGGGGCCCGAGGCAAGGGCGGGGCATGGGGCGGAGCTGTCTGGGCGGGGCTGGAGGGGAGGAGCGGTCTGGCGGGCGGAGGTGGGGCCGAAGCAAGGGCGGGGCCTGGGGCGGAGCTGTCTGGGCGGGGCTGGAGGGGAGGAGCGGTCTGGCGGGCGGAGGTGGGGCTGAAGCAAGGGCGGGGCCTGGGGCGGAGCTGTCTGGGCGGGGCTGGAGGGGAGGAGCGGTCTGGCGGGCGGAGGTGGGGCCGAAGCAAGGGCGGGGCCTGGGGCGGGGCTGGAGGGGAGGAGCGGTCTGGCGGGCGGAGGTGGGGCCCGAGGCAAGGGCGGGGCCTGGGGCGGAGCTGTCTGGTGGGTGGGGCTTTCTGGATGGGCGGGGCTTCCGGGTGGGCGGGGCTTCCGGCCCTAGGGTCTGAGCGGACCGGAGAGGCTCGGGCGGGGTCTGCCGACTCCTAGGGATTCAGGGCGCGAGCCCGGAGTTGGTCCTGGGAAGGGGGGCACCCCTTTCCCGGTACTGGTGGGCGGGGAGTGAGGGGAAGGGCAAAGCAGCACAGGGAACAGCACGACAGCGGCCCGGGGCAGGCCGCATTTGGAAAGGGGTGAGGAGAGAGGGCAGTGGCCTCTGGCGCGGCGCCAAAGGGCCTGGAGGGTCTGCCCCGCGGAAGGCGCCAGGACTGTATCCCGGGGGCAGCGGGCAGCGCCGGAGAGCGAAGCGCCTTGCGGTACCGGAGCCTGCAGGGCAAGAGAGGGTCTTCAGAAGACCCGCGACGTCCCACTGGGATGCGGAGGGAGACGGCGGTTCCTACTTCTACGTCGCCTCTTTTGGATGTGTGTGTTTGTTGTTCTTTGCCACAGCCTCTCCGTCGCCCAGGCTGGAGTGCAGCGAGCGGCGTGATCTCGGTTCCCTGCAGCCTCGGCCTCCCGGGCTCGAGATCCCCCTCCCCTCGCCTCAGCCTCCCGAGTAGGTGGACCCCCAGGCGCCTGCCGCCATGCCCCGCCAATTTTTAAAAAATGTTTTTTCCTCGACATGGGGATCTCACTGTGTTGCTCAGGCTGGTTCGAAACTCCTGGTCTCAAACGATCCTCCTGCCCAGGCCTCCTGAAGTGCTGGGATTACATTCATGAGCCACTGCGCCCGCCCGGCCTAAGTGTTTTGATTTTTATGTTTTACAATTGCTTCCGATTTGTTACAAATAAACGTTTAGCGTGTGGCGTGGTGTTCACGTGTTTACTGGTGCAGTGCGCAGTGAACCCGGTTCCAGGCAGCAGACGTGGAGGCCCAGAGGCAGAGGCCCGGTGGCGCCGGCGCGCAGCGGGAGACTGTCGGAGGCGCGTGCCGGGACCTGGGCTCCCAGCCCTGTGGTCCTCCCGAGTCCAGGGTCCAGGCCAGGGGCGCGTCTGGGCCTCTGCTGCTGTCTCCTTAGGGTTCTTTCATGGGGATCGGTTCTTCAGCCTTTCTCTCGCCCCAGAGAGGCTCCGTGTACTCTCGGCAGGAGGGAACGCGTACCTTCCGCAGCTGTACTTCGCACGCATGATGAAAAGCGTCACTTCTGCAGCATTCCAGATGCGTGGCCTTCGGTCTGCGGCCGGCGGCAGCGCGAGAGGCTTGGACAGGAGGTGCGTCTTGCGGAACGGACGAGGGCTCGGGCCCGGCGAGACAGAGCCCGGGGCAAGCGAGGGGCGGGGAGCAGGGGCTTCTCGGCCGAGGACCCGCGAGGGGCGTCCTGCAGGAGGCGTTCCAGGCGCTCGGCCCGAGGGAAGCCCTCGCTCGGGACCCGCGTGCTGCCACAGCCCCGGGGCGAGCGCGGGGCGTCCCCACCGCGGGCCTCCGACGCCTCCTGACACGTGCTGCCGGCGCCCGGGCCGGGTCCGCAGTTGGCTGCGGCCAGACCCCGGCTGCGCAGGCGGCCCGACCTCGGCCCCCACGAGGCGGGGCTTCCTGAGCGGCACCGGCGCCTGCGCGCGACCGCGGAGCTGCAGACGCAGGGGCGGGGCGGTCCCGCTCTCCCAGGCCGCCGAGCGCGCGGTCCTCCCGCGGCCCAGAGCGTCGCCGGAAGTGCCGAGGGGGCGGGCCAGGCGTGGGGACGGCGGCGCTTCCGGCGCGTGGCGGGGCGGGGACCCTGGCGGGCGCAGCCCGGCCGCCCTGCGCACGGAGGCCTCGGCTTCTGTGATTCGTGCGTCGGTTCGGGAAGGCGGAGGGCGCGGCGGAGAGAACGGGACTGGCCCCGCCGCCCTGGCCCGCGCGTCGCGCCCTCCGCTTGCAGCACAGGCCCCCGCGGCTCTCGGGCGCGGCGTGGGGGAGGCGGCCCTGCAGGAGCGTCCCCGGGGCGCCCCGCGAGCCCGGCTTCCTGCGAGCCGAGTACCCCCCGCGCGTCTTCAGCCCTTTGTGAGTTGTCAGATCTCCCCCCAGCCCAGCGGATCCGGCCTCTCCCAGCTGTGAGCAGGAGGCCTGGTCCCTGATTCCTGCCGGTGAGGTGTTCCTACTTTCAAAAACCTACTTTCAGACTTACAAATTGCACTTTAAATTGCCTTTTTGTAAAAGAGGAGGCGTCTCCCTGTGTCACCCAGGCTGGCCGCCTACACCCGGGCTCAGGCGATCCTCCCGCTCAGCCTCCCTGGCAGGTGGGATTACAAGTGGCTTAAATTAAATTTACTAATTACTTTTATTTAGTTTTTTTTTGTTTGTTTGTTTGTTTTTTTTTTTTTTTAACACAGGGTCTCCAACGCCCACCTGTAGTGCAGTGGCGCAATCTCAGTTCACCCCAGCCTAGACCTGGGCTCAGGCAATCCTCCCACTTCAGCATTCCTAGTAGCTGGGACTACAGATGCCTACCATCACGCCCAGGCTAATTTTTTTACTTTTTTGTGGGGACGGGGTCTCACTGTGTTGTCCAGGCTAGTCTGGAACTCCTGCAGTCAGCCCGCCCTGCATCCTCAGCCTCCAAAGTGCTGGGATTACAGGTGTGAGCCACAGCACCCAGCCAAATCACATCTCTTTTTTTGTTTTTGGGAATCTCGCTTTGCTGCCCAGGCTGGAGTGCAGTGGCGCGATCTCAGCTCAGTGCAACTTCCACCTCCCCCTCCAGGGTTGAAGCGATTCTTCTGCTTCAGCCTCCCGAGTAGCCGGGATTACAGGCGCACCACCATGCCCAGCTAATTTTTGTATTTATAGTAGAGACGGGGTTTCACCATGTTGTTCAGCCTGGTCTCCAGCTGCAGACCTGGTGATCCACCCGCCTCGGCCTCCCAAAGTGCTGGGATTACAAATGTGAGCCACCGCGGCCGGCCAAATCACAATTTTGTTGTTGTTGTTGTTGAGACAGAGTCTCGCTCTTGTCGCCGGGGCTGGAGTGCAGTGATGCGATTTCGGCTCGCTGCGACCTCCATTTCCCGGTTCAAGCGATTCTCCTGCCTCACTCAGCCTTCCAAGTAGCTGGGTCTACAGGCATCCACCACCATGCCCAGCTAATTTTTGTGTTTTTAGTAGAGACAAGGTTTCACCGTATTGGCCAGGCTGGTCTTGAACTCCTGACCTGATCTGCCCGCCTCGGACCTCCCAAAGTGCTGGGATTACGGGCATGAGCCACTGTGCCCGGCCCAAATCACATTTCTTAATTGCACTGGAGGTGGGACTTAAAAAATATATTACCTACTTGTTCTTTGTGAGTTACCTGTTAATGATTGTTGCCAATTTTCCCTCCTTTCTCAATAATATGTAGAGGTCTTGATCAGGTAGGGATGAATCTTTGCGTTGCATGTATTCCCCCTTTCTGGTTTTTGTTTTTTTACGTTAAATTTTTTTATGTAGTTAAATGTGTCAGACATCTGATGTCAGCCTTAGAAAAATCATTCCTCAGTCCAGAACTTTACCATTGATATAATTCTTATTTTTTTTGGTTTAACATTTTAATATTCAAATTCTCATAACTATCAAGAAATTTTAAAACCCATGGAAATTTCTCTAGACATTTGAAGACTGTGGGAGGGTACGGGCTTGCTCAGCATAGAAGCCACGACCACCCGTGCTCTGCCTCAGCCCTGGGTGGGGGGGCGGGGACTGGGGACTGGCAGAGCGTGGACCAGAGTTCCCGGGCCTCCCGCAGAACACCCGCTTCTGGGAGTGTCTGCTGAGCCAGGACCTTGTTTGCTAGTGACTGGGTGGCTCCAGCTGGGTGATGCAGCTACCACAGGGCCTGTTCTGACCTCACTGCCCCTCACCCCGTACCTAGCCCTGGCTGTGATTGATTTTTCTTTGACCTAGGCAGAAATTGTTCCGACTACTGGTGTTCTGCAAGGTGGAGCCCACAGGCGCCAAGGGGAGCAGGACCCCGATGGAGGCCCCTGCAGGTGAGGGGACACGTCCAGTTGGGCCCAGAGTCCCTGGGCAGAAATTGAACAGGAAGTACAGGAAAAACACCACGTCTCGGTCACTGATGCAGAGCATGTACTGTGTCCTTGGGCGCAAGGTCAGAGAGGGAGGTAAACGCAGGCCCAGCAGCTCACCTAGGGCATCCGTTTGGTGACTGTCTTTGCCAGTGGGCTGGTGCTTTTGGTTAGAAAGTGGCAACCCCAGGCGCTGCCTCTGGGAAGGTGTCTCGGTGCTTCTCAGCCTTGGCCTGGTGGCCATTTGGGATGGGCAAGTCTTTGCTGAGGGCCGTCCTGTGCCTCGTAGGGCGTTCGGCAGCATCCTCGCCTCTGCCCACTTGGTGTCAGTAAAACATCTACACGTTGTCAAACTGTGTGCTCGGGACAGAATCGCCCCGGTGAGAACACTGCTTTACGTTTTGGGCCTGTGCGGCCACCCCGAGTGTATCACAGTGATGGGGGCAGGGGTGGCGCAGGCCCTGCTGTGGGGGCTGGGATCTTCTGTTGGGAAGGATCCTGAGGGCCTGTAGGCGGGACCCAGTGGCGCTCTACTGTGTACGCGGCCCCTTGTGAGAGTGTTGGTTCTTTTTCCTCGTAAGCAATACCTTTAAGTCGGTTCTTGAACTCCCAAGTCTGCAAACCACAAGACCAGGGCTGGTCCCCTGGCAAGGGGCTTCTGTTTTGTGCACCACACTCCTGCCCCAGCTGCTCAGTGTCGTGGGCCTGCCGGGGCGGAGAGTGGGGATCGTCAACAGCAGCCTGCTCTCACCTGCCCAGGAACATCCCTGCTCCACCCCATGGGAGTTTCTGTCAAATCTGCACCCTCCATGTTCTCGAGAGGTGTAGCCGGGACTCAGCCGCTTGTCCTCCGCTGCCACAGCTGACTGCCTGCAGGCGGAGAAGCCCCGCTCAGTTGCTGTGCTGGCCTCGGAGGCCCCCAGCCTCCTCCTGCCGCTCCTGGCTGAGCCCTCCTGCCTCCGACGCAGGCCGAGGTCAGTCGCCAGCTCTCATGTTCCAGGGTTTTGCCCCTACTCTTAAGGCTTCTGTCTAAATGGCCACATGGTATGTGAGCCAGTGGAACCAAGTCCAACTGGTGGCTTCACTGCCTGACAACAAGGGCCACTGCCATGTACCCGGGACAGGAGCTGCTCAGCCCAGCCAGTGCCACCGCCCGGCCTGCATGGGTTGCTGCTTCCAGCTCTTGGTACGGATTTGTCTGCATGAGGATGCTCCGACTTGCACGTAACAGTTCGGTGTTTGCGGGGAGTTGTTCAGGAGGCCGTGTTGTCTCAGGGAGTCCAAAGGAACGAGCTGGGGCCATGGCTGGGTGCAGCGGTTCACGGCTGTAATCCCAGCACTTCAGGAGGCCGGGGTGGGAGGAGTGTTGAGCCCAGGAGGTCAAGACCAGCCTGGGCAAAACAGTGAGACGGCACCTCTAAAAAATTGTTAAAAAGAGTCTGGCATGGTGGTGCCCACCTGTAGTCCCACCTACTTGGGAGGCTGCAGTGAGCTGTGACGGCAGCACTGCACTCCAGCCTGGGTGATAGAGCAAGACCCTGTCTCACAAAAAAGGAAAGACAGACAGATGTAAGGCAGAGCTGGGCCATGGACTGTGTTGGGCACCACTGTCCCTGAGCCTCCTGCTGCATCTGCCTTCCCCCGCCCTGGCTCACTGCCAGCTGTCTCTACCCACCTTTGCTTTCCCAGCTGCCCTGCAGAGTAAAACAGTGCCCAGAGCCTGCGTTTCTGTCACCTCCCCTCCCGGGACTGGGAGGGCTGAGGCTAGAGGTTTAGAGCTTGCGTTTGCATATTTTTAAAATTTAAGAGACAGGATTTTACTACGTTGGCCAGGCTGGTCTTGAACTCCCAGTGTCAAGTGGTCCTCCTGCCTCAGCCTCCCGAAGTGCAGGGATTACAGGTGGGAGCCTCCGCCCGGCCCCACAGCCCTGTTTCTGGAGTGGCAGTGCGCGACTCTTACCCACTTGTAACTACAGGGGTTGAGAAACCAGGCGGGAACTGAATGGGCAAAATCAAGTGTCTGTGGCACACTGACGTCACCGTCATTGCTTTGTGTCACAGCTGCCAGAGCCAGCCTGGACTCAACGTTCTCTTGCATCTGAAGTCATTCCTCCTGTCTGGCCTCTTTTTCAGCTGTGAAGGCCGCTTTCCTGGCGCAGGCCCCGAGTGGCGGCCGGTCAGCTGAGGAGCAGGCAGCTCGGAGCACAGGTCCCGTACCGCAGCCCGGCGCCCCCAAGGCAGAGGGCCACGGAGGGGGCCCTCCCTGGGCGCCGGGGTCTCTTGGCCCTTGTGAAAATGAGGAAGCTGGAGAGAGGCCCAGAGGTTCCCCTCGAGGCCCGGTCATTTCTGAGAAGACTGGAGGGCAGAGCGGCCGCGAGTCAGGCCCCGCGGCAGGGGCACGGCGTGGCTGGAAGGGGCGGCCCTTCCCGTGCAGCGCCTGTGGCCTCAGCTTCAAGTGCCCCTCGGACGCAGCGAAGCACCGCAGCATCCACGCGGGGGAGAAGCCGTACGAGTGCAGCGACTGCGGCAAGGCCTTCATCCACAGCTCGCACGTGGTCCGCCATCAGCGCGCTCACAGCGGGGAGCGGCCCTACGCGTGCGGCGAGTGCGGCAAGGCCTTCAGCCAGAGCTTCAACCTGCTCCGCCACCAGCGCGTGCACACGGGCGAGAAGCCCTTCGCCTGCCAGGACTGCGGCAAGGCCTTCGGCCAGAGGTCGGACGCCGCCAAGCACCGCCGCACGCACACCGGGGAGCGGCTGTACGCATGCGGCGAGTGCGGGAAGCGCTTCCTGCACAGCTCCAACGTGGTGCGGCACCGGCGGACCCACCACGGCGAGAACCCGTACGAGTGCCGCGAGTGCGGCCAGGCCTTCAGCCAGAGCTCCAACCTGCTGCAGCACCAGCGCGTGCACACGGGCGAGCGGCCCTTCGCCTGCCAGGACTGCGGGCGCGCCTTCAGCCGCAGCTCCTTCCTGCGCGAGCACCGCCGCATCCACACCGGCGAGAAGCCCCACGAGTGCGGCCACTGCGGGCGCGCGTTCCGGGCGCTGTCGGGCTTCTTCCGGCACCAGCGGCTCCACACGGGCGAGAAGCCCTTCCACTGCACCGAGTGCGGCCGCGCCTTCCGCCTGAGCTTCCACCTCATCCAGCACCGGCGGGTGCACGGCGCCGAGTGAGCCGGGGTGCGCGGCGAGGAGGGGACAGAGCCGGCTGCCTCTCGGGCTGCGAAAGCCTTTCCCTTGGCTCGGGGAAGGGGAGGCGCTTCCCAGCAGCGGGGCAGGCCCCAGGGGTCTGAACCGGGCTGCGCCGGCTGCCGAGACACCTCCCCTCCCACGCTCAGCTGCAGCGACTGTCATTTCCTGCGGGGGCCACTGGCTGGTGATCAAATCGGTCATTCCCACAGCCAGGCCTCCAGCAAAACCCTGCGTGGGGCTCGAGCTTGGGGTTGGTGAAGGTGGGGGTTGGTTAGGAAGGGGGCACCAGAGAGGGCGTGGAAGCCTTGTGCTGTCCCCTCTACTTTGCCCGTGAGAGCTTCATCCATGTCTTTTAACGCCTTTTCACAGTCAGCTGGTCCATATGGTCCCGAGCTGTGTGTGCTTAGAAAAGTATGGAACCTAGCCTGGCACGGTGGCACCCAGCGCGATGGCTGCCACCTGTAATCCCAGCACTTTGGGAGACCGAGGTGGTGGATCACGAGGTCAAGAGATCGAAACCAGCATGGCCAACATGGTGAAATCTCTTCTCTACTAAAAATACAAAAATTAGCCAGGCATGGTGGTGTGCACCTGTAGTCCCAGCTATTCGGGAGGCTGAGGCAGGGGAATCGTTTGAACCCAGGAGACAGAGGTTACAGTGAGCCGAGATTGCACCACTGCACTCCAGCCTGGCTCAGAGCAAGATTCTGTCTCAAGGAAAAAAAATATATGGAACCTGAGAAGGAGGATGTGGGGACCCCGGGGTCCACCGTCTGCACTTGGCCCCTGAAGTGGGCTGGTCTTGTGGGACTGACCCCTCGCCCTGTGGGTCTGTGCTAACAGCCGGCAGTCCATTTCAGAATCCAGTTACACTGTTGGATATCCCGCTGGTGCCAGAGTTGGAGAGCTGCTTGGTGTGGGGGAAAGGCTCACACACGTGATGTCCGGAGCATGCTGTGGGTAGAAGAATCGTTTTCTCTGAGACAGTGCTATGGGTAGGTACAACTTACTTCCTGTAAAAGAGTTCTGATTTTTTTAAATGTCATTTCCTAGATAGAAAAGAAGTGTCCCTTTGGGGAACATTTTTGGGGGCATATAGTAAAGCTCTGCCTTCATGAATTAAGCAAGGTGGTGGTTTTAAGTTTCTTGGGATGACTGAGGGAAATGTGAGCCGCCCACTGGCCGATAGCCCTGGGGAGCAGCTACAGAGATTCCCCCACAAGGCACAGGGAGGGCAAAAGACTTAAACACGCCCTCTCTGGGTGCCCCCTTCCTAACTGTCCCGGTCTGGCTGTGGCTTGGAACTGCCTCCTGCAGTTCTCTGCTCCAGGTAAGGATTGACGGGGAAGAATTCCGGGCCTGCTGCCGGCTGCCATTTCCAAGACATTCGCACCGTTTCCACAGCTCTTGGCGCCGACTTCGTTAAAATGCATTAACTTAGGGTTGTGAAGCCTGCAGGGGCAGATTTGGTGGCCCTGCAGTTAATTAAGCTCCTGACTCCTGGGCCAGTGGTGACGGGGGAAGATGAGCCTGTGTCTCCCATGCTGAGCCAAGAGCCTCAAGTCAGCTGAAGGTGACCTTCCAGGCTTCCAGGTACCCGTGGAGGTCAAAGCACCTGCCCTCTGAAGGAGCTTGCCCTGCTTAGCCTCATCCCGGCTCATCAATCAGGCATTCAGCTTATAGGCAAAGATCCCCAGGCACACAAGGAGAGTCAGCTGACTGAGGGCCAACAGAAACAGCAGGCAGCTGACATTAGCCACGAGAACTCAGATCCTGAAACTCACCATACAGGTGAGAGGACAGTTACGTACCAGGTGTTTAGAGAAGTCACAGAGTCACAGTGATGAGAAAGCTGTAGGATACATGCTATCACGCACGAATAGGCAGGCCCTAAAGAACTTTGGGGCCGGGCGCGGTGGCTCAAGCCTGTAATCCCAGCACTTTGGGAGGCCGAGGCGGGTGGATCTCGAGGTCAAGAGATCGAGACCATCCTGGTCAACATGGTGAAACCCCGTCTCTACTAAAAATACAAAAAATAAGCTGGGCATGGTGGCCCGTGCCTGTAATCCCAACTACTCAGGAGGCTGAGGCAGAAGAATTGCTTGAACCCAGGAGGCGGAGGTTGCGGTGAGCTGAGATCACGCCATTGCACTCCAGCCTGGGTAACAAGAGCGAAACTCCGTCTCAAAAAAAAAAAAAAAAAAAAAAAAAAAAACCTTTTGGGACATTTGGAGGCCTAGGAGGGAGGATCACTTGATCCCAGGAGTTCAAGACCAGCCTAGGCAACATAGGGCTGGGTGTGGTGGCTCACGCCTGTAATGCCAGCACTGTCAGAGGCTGAGGCAGGCGGATCACCTGAGGTCAGGAGTTCGAGACCAGCCTGGCCAAAACAGTGCAATCCTGTCTCTACTAAAATAAAAAATTAACTGGGTGTGGTGGTGCACACCCGTAATCCTAGCTACTCAGGAGGCTGAGGCAGGAGAATCCCTTGAACTGGGAAGGCACAGGTTGCAGGTTGCCTAGATCGTGCCATTGCACTGCAGCCTGGGCAAAAAGAGCAAAACTCCATCTCAAAAAAAAGGAAAAGGATCTGAGTGATGGTCTTAGACGTAAGATGCAATGGCGAGCAAATAAAATTACAAATATATGTACGTAAAAGTAACGTCAGCTAAAATACTGGACAGAACAGCATGTCAATCTGAAGGGACAGAAATGTTCTAAGACCCTCCTGTTGTTGGAAAGAGGGTATAAGATAGCATTTAATTTGACTTTGGTAAGTTAAATGTGCATTCTGTACTTTAATGTTAATTACTAAAAGAGTGTAACCAGTCTATACATCTCCAATCGAATAACAACAACAAAAAAAATGCTGTAATTTAAAATGTAGTCCCAGCTGCTTGGGAGACTGAGGCAGGAGGATCTGAGTTTGGATCCTCAGACCAGGAGTTTGAGGCAACAGTGAGCTATGATTGTGCCACCATACTCCAGACTGGACAACAGTGAGATCCCGCAAAATAAATAAATGAGCACAAACTTCTGTCAATTAAAACATAAGAAATCAGGCTGGGCCTTAGCGCAGTGGCTCACACCTGTAATCCCAGCATTTTGGGAGGCCAAGGTGGGTGGATCACTTAAGCCCAGGAGTTTGAAACCAGCCTGGGCAACATAGGGAGACCCCATCTCTACAAAAAAATAAGCCAGGCATGGTGGAGCATGCCTGTAGTTCCAGCCACTCGGGAGGCTGAGCGGGGAGGAACACCTAAGCCTGGGAGGTCGAGACTGCAGTGAGCTAGAGTCACTCGCGCCACTACACTCCAGCCTGGGCAACAGAGTGAGACCCTCTCTCAAAAAAATCAGAAACAAAACTGGGCAAATTAATAGTGGAAACAAATCTAAGTATTTTCCTAATCACAGTAAACTGTATGGAATTGTCAGTTAAAAGGTAAAGGTTAGGGCCAGGCCTGCAATCCCAGCACTTTGGGAGGCCGAAACGGCCAGATCACTTGAGGTCAGGAGTTTGGGACCAGCCTGGCCGACATGGAGAAACCCTGTCTCTACTAAAAATAAAAAATTAGCTAGTCGTGGTGGTACACGCCTATAATCCCAGCTACTTGGGAGGCTGAGGCAGGAGAATGGCATAAACCTGGAGGCAGAAGTTGCAGTAAGCTGAGATCGCGCCACTGCACTCCAACCTGGGCAGCAGAGTGAGCCTCCATCTCAAAAAAAAAAAGGTAAAGGTTAGGAGGAATCTGTGACCCAGAGTCATACACGTGGAGACAGGAGGGAGGCGGTCAGCCAAGAGGAGGGAAGTCGAGCTCAGGTCCTGGGAGGTGAGAGGTGGCCGTGTGCTGTGCAAAGCCCAGAATAATGTTTTAAATAGGCAACTCAAAAATAATGGGCCGGGGGAGGTGGCTCACGCCTGTAACCCCGACACTGGGAGGCCGAGGTGGGCAGATCACTTGAAGTCGGGAGTTCCAGACCAGCCTGGTCAAGATGGCGAAACTCCATCTCTATTCATCATACAAAAATTAGCTGCATTACCGACTTCGTTAAAATGCATTAATGCCAGCTACTTGGGTGGCTGAGGCGCGAGAATCAGTTGAACCAGGAGGCGGAGGTTGCAGTGAGCCGAAATCACGCCACTGGACTCCAGCCTCGGTGTCACTCAGTGAGATTCCACCTCAAAAAAATTAAAAAATGATGTATTGGAAATGGAAACGTGATGGGCAAAATTAGCAAGAAGGCGGAAAGCGGGGAAATCTTTCTGAAAGAACAAAAAGGCAAAGAAGGTGGGCGGTGGGCTAAAGGTTAAGACCAACGGGAATTCCAGGGGGCGAAAGACAAAATCGGCAAGCGCGGGAGTGAAATTGTTAGAGAAATGACTTGCCCCCAGAACCAAGAAACACGCGTCTCCAGAGTGAAAGCGCCTGCCAGAGTCCTGCGCAAAGGTGCTAACGAGACAGGCCACGTCGCTCTCATGGCAGGTGCGCGTCACACCCCCGCCGTCTCCACCGGGAGTGCGCAGCCCGTGCCTGCGTACAGGACAGGGCAGGGGTGACGGCTGCAACTGCAGTGTGGTCCACTCGTGGCTGTGTGACCTTGGGCCGGGTACCTTAACCGTTTTGTACCTGTTTCCTCATCTGAAAAACGGACATAGCAGTACCTATGTCATAGACAACTGACCAAACGCAGTGCCAGACACGCAGCAAACACCTCACTGCAGCTGCTCCCAATACTCTGGGACCCACAGCTCAAAGCTGCCGACGCTCCTGGCAACCTACAGCGGGCAGGCAAAGGCCCTGGTCTACACAGCATTCCCACCCTCCCCCTCCAGGGACACAGAGGGCAGGCAGACCAGCACTGGTCTACACAGCAGTCCCCCTGGGGACACGGAGGGGAAGTGCTCCTGGGCTGGTCTACACAGCATTCCCACCTCCCCCTCCAGGGACACAGAGGGCAGGCAGACCAGCACTGGTCTACACAGCAGTCCCCCTGGGGACACGGAGGGGAGGTGGTCCTGGGCTGGTCTACACAGCATTCCCACCTCCCAGCCAGGACATGAGGGGCAGAAGGGGCGGGGTGGCTGGCACCATTTGCACCTGCTGCCTTAGGCCGTCTGGCTCCTCCTGTGGCTTCGCTGCCTCCTGGCCGGTTTTCTTCTCTCGCTCTGGACACCCCGGCATCAGCTGGCTTCTCCTTCCACTTGCCTCTGCCTCCAGCTGGCTTCCCGCCACCCGCGCTTTCTCTTCTCGGGGTTTTTCACCATCCCCCCACCCCCAGCTGCCCCCCGCCCCCGGCTGAGGTGCGCACCCAGCTCACTCCCGCACTGCACTGTCTTCCTCCAGGTCCTGCGCTTTTCATGTCCGTTTCTTTGGTTTTCGAGTCCCTTCCTCCCCAGCTTTGTCTTCCTCCTTTTCTTCTCTGGAAACCAAGGCCTCCCGTCCCACCTTGGCGCCAATACCTGA